TTTTGATTTTTCACAAAACTATTTACACAATAATTTAAGTAGAAGAACAACAAGACGACGAAAAACAAAAAGAACAAGAACAACAACAAGAAAAATAAGAAGAACAAGACCAAGAAGAAAGAGAACAAGAATAACAAGAAAAAGAACAAGAAAAACAAGACAAAGAACAAGAAGAACAAAGTGCTATGTGTTGCCATCATCGTATGTTTCTATACAATGATGAAATTTGTGCTCCACATCACATGTGAGATCCACCCAGGTGGAGCAGTGGGCAGCTATGCAAGCACTTTTAAAAGGCGTGCGGTGGCGTTCTGGACCCTCTGGAGGTGAGCAACAGACAAAGCACTGACCTCTGAATAAAGTGCACCACAGTGATCCAACGAGCAATGAAGGAGCAGAGAACTGTCTCAAAGAGCTTCATAGAAAGGATTGGTTGGGTTCGGTACCTCTGAGGCAGAAGTCTGTCGTGGGTCAGGTACCCAGGCTTGTGGACATCTTTGGAGAAGTCTTCATATTTGGCCTGGACAGCGTATGAAGCCAGCAGCACGGCGGTCTCTGGGGGACAGTAGTTCTCATCGTTCAGAATGGCCTCTTTGACCTGTTGGTGAGAAAAGACAAAAAAAAAAATCCATAAAATATTGAGCGAGCAGAATCATCCAGGAGCAGAGCTGAGAAAACACAAGGCTTTAATCATAAATAAATAATGATGGCATTGTTTATTATTTTGTTACCTGTAAGAAGAAAAGTCTCTGTGTGATGTCCTGGATTAATTCCTCCGAGACGTCTTCAGGGAAGAATTTGGCTCTGAACTTGAACTGCAGAGGGTTTTCCTTTTTCACATCTTGCTGGGTCACCTGAACGTAAACAAACAAACAAATAAATAAACATCCAACCATGAAGTTATTGGTAGACCAAGCTAAATGACAAGAACCACGCACATCAAAGTGCCCAGCTAGAACGCAGGAGATCAAATGAGACAATCTGAAGGAAAAGGAGTGAACACTGAAGGATTCTGGGTGATTAATTTACACCAGGTGAGACGTCTGATAACCTCACCTGGTGTAACACAAGGAGCCGAAAGTGAAAGTTTTTTATTTCCTGTTTGATTCTAACTTTAAAAATTAAAACAAAGCTGTAATTGATGGATCTCAGGACCCATCAGGGGAGAACTATGGCAAGCCAATTGAGTCTTTAACAGCTGCTGAAGATTTTCAGTCATCCAGGACATGGTAAATTCAAAAAAAGTTCAAGACAAAAATAATAAAGTATAATAAATAAAGTCCAGTTTTTGTCTTGAACTTTTTTGAATTTGTCATTATAGCCACGTTTACCTCTTACATGATACAACAGCATGCCATACTACTCTGCAGCTATCTAGCGTCTGAAAATGGCAGTGTTCAATATTTTAGTCAGAACGAATGAAAACGGTCATATCTCAGCCAAAAATTGTTTTATAAATATGGTAAAAAATCCATAAATAAGTCGCAGGGCAAGTAAATTATGCAAAAACTGCGACTTATTGGGCGAAAAATACGGTAAACATAAGTTTATTTCTTTTCGCTGTATAAATCGCACCTTTTTGCATAAATTTGCAAGTCCTGCGACTTATACACCAAAGCGAATAATATAAGTGTTTTCCCATATTTATGACCGAGATCTGACGATTTTGTTCATTCGCACATGGAAAATATTGAACATTACCATTTTCAGCCGCTAGAGGGCGCTTGACTAATATGGCAAGCTAAGCGTCTCATTAATAGGTAAAAGTGACTATTAATGAGACACTTGGCTTGCCAAACCAAACCACCTTCATCTCGCTCCAGAACTCCTGAAGCAAACGTCAACCAGTAAAGTGAATTTATTAAGGAAACGTTCAACTGAGACACACCTTTAATGTAATGTCGAGCAAACAATTGTTTTTAAGTGTTAATCTTGTTATATTCTTGTTAAAGTCCTCCCGTGCACACTCCCGCGGCCGCCATTTGGCAGCCAATCAATTTATGGCACAACACGATTCCGGGTCGTCAACGGTGACACATAATAGATGAGACTTGTACGGCGAAATGATTTATGTGTTTTTCCACTTTATTAAACATGTTTGGACTAAGGCAACTTACCGTATTTTCCGTCGTACGCGTCGCACCGCCATATAAGTCGCATCAGTCCATATATGTCTAATAAAGTGGAAAAAACCATAAATATGTCGCTTCGCCATATACGTCGCATCTATTACACCGCTGACAACCTGGAAATGTGTTGTGCCAAAAACCGATGGGTCACCAAATGGCAGCCACGGAAGCGTGCACGGGAGGAATTTAACAAGTTTAACACTTAAAAACAATTATTTGTTTGCTCGAAATTATAGTAAAGGTGTGTGTCAGTCTAACATTTGCTTAATAAATGCAGTTTAATGGTCAAATTAGCTGCATTTCGCCGTGGCAGGGCAGCTGGACTGACGGTCCAAACAGCAAACAGAACCAAGGTGGAGAGTCTATGGCAGGCCGATTGAGTCATTAAAAGCTTGTGAAGATTCTAAGTCATCCAGGACTTGGTAAATTAAAAACAATTCAAGAAAAAAGTATAAAGTAAAATATAATAAAGTCCAGTTGTTTTTGTCTTGAAATTTTTTGAATTTGTTATTATAACCATGTTTTCTCATTACATTATACAACAGTCAACAGAATGCCATACAGCTATTACTACTCTGCTGCCATCAAGTGTCTGAAAGTGGTACTGCACAATTTTTTTTCCAAGTCAGAATGAATGAAAACGGTTATATCTCGGCAAAAAAATGGTTTATAAATATGGGAAAAAAATCCATAAATATGTCGCTTCGGCCTATAAGTCGCAGGGCATGCAAATTATACAAAAAACTGTGACTTATGCAAAGAAAAATACGGTATACGGCGGTGCCACGGTGGAAAATACGGTAACTCAATTGAAGAAAATAAAAAGTTTACGCTGCGCAGTTTTTTGAATTATAACCAATTAATGTGCACAAACAATCACAGATTTTAGCCAAGACTGGTAAAAAATAAAGTTAAAATTACATAATACCAAATCACAAAATCTTATAAACAAACAAAATTCGACATCGACTGTCAGAAAGTGCAGGCTTCCCAGCATTTCACGAAAACAAAACTCCGAGTAAACCTTGAACTTCCAGGATGAGGCACGCGTAACTGTCAGAACTTCGTGTTAGGTGGAGAACAGAGCCACATTCACAGATAACAGGAAGTGCACGTGCACGCTGCAGTCATTCCTAATAAATAACTGGAGAAATGTAATTTCCTGTCAAAATGCAGCGGGGATGCTTTTTGCTGAACGCTGCAGCCGTTAAAGTGAGTTTCCCCTGATTTCCAGAGTTCTTGTGTATTTAACACGGGTCTGATCCTGGAGAGCACGCACAGGATGTGCCGATCAGCTGTTGGCGTACGTGCACAGCTGACTCGGTCATTTTCAAGTCTCCGCTGAAGCCCTGAACGTTAGAATCCTGACGGGCCTTAAAACACCTGAGTAACGACATTTCACAACGTTTCACTGGAACTCCATCAGTTTTCCCTTCAACCCCGGACTTAGCTCGTCTGAGACAACGCAACGGGAACGATCCTGACAAAAACGCTTTTAAGTGAAGCTATACAAGTCAGCGTTGGTGTGCTTTCACTCCAAGAATGTTTGTGGGGAATAAACCTGTGCGCATTTCATCACTTGCTACTTTTGTTAAAAAAAACCCAGAAGATTAAAGAGGAGATGCGTGGATGCCGTCAGAGAGGACATGAGGTCGTTGGAGTGAGGATACAGAGGACAGGAGGGTCTTTGCCTCAGTCCACGTGTTCCGTCTGCTTCAACGCATCTTCTGAATGGACCGAGGTGCGCCTCTGAAGAAGTAACCCAAAGCGCTGCAGCTCAGTAATGTGATGAACTTTCCTTTCCTCACTTGCTGTTGTGCAAGGCGGACACGTTTTCCTCCTCCTCCTGCTTATTTTGCTCTCCGTCTGTGCAGAGCTCCTATTTACACATCTTCCGAAACGAAAACTAGTGCCGTGGATCTGGTCAGCTGGACTTTCAACGCAATCGATAAAATCTTTTCAACAAAGCGACAGGGTCCTGGAGTTTTAAAAATGGCACGAAGGGGACATCCGTCACATTTCATGTCTTCATTGAATTCCCATTCATGGGTCCTGCTCTGACTTTTGGTATTGGCTGGCCATGTTTTCCTGGGAGGGTTGCAATAGACGGAAGCTTTGTCCCTAGTTACCACGTCCCAGGAGAAATTTGATAGTCGGCTCGTATCCGAGGCCAAATGGGGGAGTCAGATTCAGACAAGCCACAATTGTTGATTTTCTTTAAGCAGACAGTTTTTCCTTGTCAGCCTTGAGACCTGCTGGAACTTTCCCGATCCAAAATGACCAGATTTATGCGTATTTCACTCCACTGATCCGTGCCATGAGCATTCCTAAAGGTCGACCCCAACATGCTGGTGAGTCCTAAAAGCTGCAGGTGGCTTGCGATTCTCACAAATCGCCTCCATCTTACAGTTTAGCTCATAAACCAGCTGATTTTGAGTACTCGTAGCATGAACAAATCCTTCACACAGACTCGAAACTGCTACCAATGTCTTCTTCAAAAGCTGATAAAACAGAGCCCCGCTGATGCCAAAAAGCAGAACCCCTGCTGCAATGAATCCAAATGTATAAACTTCTTCAGCATCCTCCTGAGACAAAACAGAGAGACCCACCAGCTGCCAAACTCCCCACGGATCTCTGAAGTACCCTGCAGCGCGAGTCCCAGCCGGACAAGAGGGTTCTCCAGGACCCTGTCGTTTTGTTGAAAAGATTTTGTTGATTGCGTTGAAAGTCCAGCTCATCAGAGCCATAATATAATTTTTCGTTCGGGAGATGTGTACCAGGAGCTCCAAGACACACAGAGAGCAAAAGCAGGAGGAAGAGGAGAACAAGGGGAGGGAGAGGAGAAAGCGTCCGTCTTGAGCAAGAGCCAGAGGAGAATTTTTTTATTTTTTTTATTCTCCACATTCCTGCTGTTTTGATGCTTTTATTTCCTGCATTCAGCAAATGTCAGTTGTTCAAACTCAGCTCACATCAACAGTTCAGAGATGAAACATTTTCAACAGAAATCACTCACACTGCAAACCAACAAAGTCCATGCTCAATAATCCAGGTATACAATCCAACAATTTTCAGTCAGGTCATCTGGACAGTTTCTTTTATTGTGCTGAGGGCCAGCAATGGAGGAGGGGGCGTGCCAAAGACACCATCTTAGCACCAACAAAACTGGTTTGTTCCACTTTGGCGTAAGCTGTTGGGGGAAGAATCAGTTTTGTGTTGTGCGTTTCCTTGACTGATGAAGCCATCTGGATGGAAGGTGAAACGTTTCAGCACAAAAAAGAAACTGTCCAGATGACCTGACTGAAAATTGTTGCACCGTCACTGCATTTTAGCAGGAAATGACATTTCTCTAATAATCAGGGATTTATAAATAAATTAGTCATTAGTAAGAGTAATCACGTTACTTCTCATCTCCAACAATTCTCAGTATAGTAATGTTTAATGGTAAAAATCTTTATGTTACAAATAAATTAGAAAGTTTGCAACCTTTACAACAGTTATTTCTTTTATTAGTGTCTGGGCGCCGGTTATTAAAACATTGATATGGATTAACGTTGTTAACCTGCGACTCATCAGTTCGGGTTTTGTCGAGGTTTAACGGTGCTAAAACGTAAACAAAGCGAAGGGAGACGTACCTTTTTGTTGAGCTTGAGCCAGGTGGTGTAACCTTTACTGTCCACATACTGCAGGCCGAAGAACCACACCTCCCGCAGCCCCACCGTCTTCACCACCTGCGAGAAAAAGAGCTGTGGGTTTCACGCTGCAGCATAAATTAAACAATATTCTCGATTCTTTTTGAACAGATGAAACTGTGGGGACACAGGTGACCACGGTTAGCGTGGTGACATGGCGAGAAGGGATTAGCTGTGACCCATGAGGGTTTACGTCAGGTAAGCTCACCTGGTCAAAGAGCTGTTTTCCTGTGGTGTTAGGCTGGATGGCGAACTCCAGCTCTGCATCCATGGTGGTTACACGAACATTAATCTAAACAAAACAAACAAGTTTAAAAACAAACAAAGCCATCATTTATTTCATTTAGAGCCCCGCGCTCTCGATCAAAGTGAAACTCTTCCCGAATTACAAAAATTTGAGCTGTGTTGCTGTAAAGTTTGAACATTTATAAACTTATTAATTCATATTACCGCACAGTTATTGCCACACTTTCATAGTTTACGTGCTTAACGTTGGCGCTCAATCTCACAACAGCTGACATGTTCATACAGAGCTCTGCATTCACAAATTGTACAATAACTTCAATTGTTCAGATTGCATAATGACCTTGCTACATGTGATTAAAAAATAGATATATGGCACTTTTTCAATGCCCCAGCTGCCCTAAAACAGAAAGGTTTACAGGTGCTGGTCATAAAATTAGAATATCATGAAAAAGTTGATTTATTTCAGTAATTTCATTCAAAAAGTGAAACTTGTATATTATATTCATTCATTACACACAGACTGATATATTTCAATGTTTATTTCTTTTAATGTTGATGATTATAACTGACAACTAATGAAAACCCCAAAATTCTGTATCTCTGAAATTAGAATATTGTGAAAAGGTTCATTATTTAATATACCTAGTGTCACAGTCTAATCAGCTAATTAACTCAAAACACCTGCAAAGGCCTTTAAATGGTCTCAGTCTAGTTCTGTAGCTACACAATCATAGGGAAGACTGCTGACTTGACAGTTGTCCAAAAGACATCCAGTGACACAATGCACAAGGAGGACAAGACACAAAAGTTAATTGCTAAAGAGGCTGGCTGTTCATAGAGCTCTGTGTCCAAGCACATTAACAGAGAGGTGAAGGGAAGGAAACGATGTGGTAGAAAAAAAAGTGTACAAGCAACAGGGATAACTGCACCCTGGAGAGGATGGTGAAACAAAACCCATTCCAAAATGTGGGGGAGATTCACAAAGAGTGGACTGCAGCTGGAGTCAGTGCTTCAAGAACCACCACACACAGACGTATGCAAGACAAAGGTTTCAGCTGTAGTATTCCTTGTATCAAGCCACTCTTGAACAAGAGAAGTGTCAGAAGTGTCTCACCTGGGACTGCTGCTGAGTGGTCCAAAGTTATGTTCTATGATGAAAGTAAATTTTGCATTTCCTTTGGAAATCAAGGTCCCAGAGTCTGGAGGAAGAGAGGAGAGGCACAGAATCCACGTTGCTTGAGGTCCAGTGTCAAGTTTCCACAGTGATGGTTTGGGGTACCATGCCATCTGCTGGTGTTGGTCCACTGTGTTTCCCAAGGTCCAAGGTCAACGCAGCCGTCTACCAGGAAGTTTTAGAGACTTCCTGCTTCCTGCTGCTGACCAACTTTATGGAGATGTAGATTTCATTTTCCAGCAGGACTTGGCACCTGCACACAGTGCCAAAGCTACCAGTACCTGGTTTAAGGATCATGGTATCCCTGTTCTTAATTGACCAGCAAACTCACCTGACCTTAACCTCATAGAAAATCTATGAAGTATTGTGACGAGGAAGATGTGATACACCAGACCCAACAATTCAGAAGAGCTGAAGGCCACTATCAGAGCAACCTGGACTCTCAGAACATCTGAGCAGTGACACAGACTGATGGACTCCATGCTACGCCGCATTGCTGCAGTAATCCAGGCAAAAGGAGCAACAACTAAGTACTGAGTGCTGCACATGCTCATATTTTTCAGTTGCCCAACCTTTCTAAAAACCTTTTTTTTTATTTTTTTATTGGTCTTAAATAACGTTCTAATTTTCTAAGATACTGAATTTGGGGTTTTCATTAGTTGTCAGTTATAATCATCAACATTAAAATAAATAAACATTTGAAATAGTCTGTGTGTAACGAATGAATATAATATACAAGTTTCTCTTTTTGAATGGAATTACTGAAATAAATCACTTTTCATGAAATTCTGATTTTATGACCAGCACCTGTACAGTAAAGACCACAGGTGTGAAACTCCAGGCCTCGAGGGCCGGAGTCCTGCAACTTTTAGATGCGTCTCTGATGCCGCACAGCTGAATCAAATAAGGAGGTCATTAGCAGGACTTTGGAGAACTTGACTGCACTGAGAAGCTAATTCAGTCATATGATTCAGGTGTGTGGCATCAGAGACTCATCTAAAAGTTGCAGGACTCCGGCCCTTGAGGCCTGGTGTTTGACACCCCTGCTTAAGACAGATGAGTGAAATCACCTCCATCCGATCCGACTTTAAAAAGCACAGTAATAAGATGATGAGCGTTTGTCAAAGGCCAAAGACGTGTGCAGGGTGGAGCGGAGCGTAAAAACCAGCCACTGGCTGGGCCTCGCAGCAGCTGATGGCACACAACAAGGCAGGGCTGACCTCAGAGGCATCCTTCCTCCTACACCTACATGCTAACAAAGTATTTATTGCCTTGGTAGTCGTGGTGACGGCGTAAGAACAGGAATTGGGGGGAGGGGGGTGCGTGCACAACAGAAAGGAAGGTGAAAAGAAAACTAGTTCAAAGTGCAAAAAATACCACGAAGCAATTGTGTCAAAAGAGAAAAACTGCAAGAAAGACTGAAAGTGTGTGCAACAGGAAGCGAGACATGTGAGGGAACTCCCTCTGAGAAGAAGTTGCACTGAAGTTGCTGTAAAAATCAACCATGAGGAGGGACTGGAAACGAGAGAGAACAAACCTGAGGCAGTCAAACTGCTTATTTTGCCGTTTTCTCTCCCTCTGCAGTCATTTTTTACTCATTCTTCTGCTTTTGACTCTCGTGGTTTATCTGACATTTCCTGCACTGATGACTAATAAGTCATAAAACACCAGCAACCCCAAATCTGAGGCCATGGTCCTCAGTCGGAAAAGGGTGGATCGCTCTCTTTACCTCACTTATGGTCAGGAACTCTGGGTAGTGACCGAAACAATGAGATTGTGGATACAGGTGGTTGAAATGAGTTTCCTCTGCAGAGTAGCTGGACTCTCCTCAGAGTAGAACCGCTGCTCCTCCACGTCCAGAGGAGCCAGTTGAGGTGGTTCATCTGGTAAGGATGCTTCCTGGGCGCCTCCTTAGGGAGGTGCTTCGGGCATGTCCAACTGGGAGGAGAGCCCGGGGAAGACCCAGGACATGCTGGAGAGACTACGTCCCTCGGTTGGCCTGGGAACACCTCGGGGGTCCTCCCAGAAGAGCTGGCTGTGGAAAGATGTCTGGAAGCTGCTGCCTGGCTTCGGAATAATCTGAAAATAATGGATGGATGGATGGAAGAGAAGCAAAATACTGTATGTGAACAGAAGGGTGAGAAGAACCCTGGCTGGAAGACGTCCATACTGGTGCTATGGGTTGGAGGAGCTTCCCAGAAGTTCTGCGCTCCAGTTTCTCATGGAGTAAGAAACGTTCGTGCAGACCAAAACGTCTCGCAGCTACGTGGGCTAGAAGACTTCTTCATCAGCTCAACGAGACAAAACTGGAGCTGATCTTGAATGACTGTTTTCTACACGTGAACAACAAAGTGACTCTTGGTGTGTTTAAGACTAAATCTTTTTTTTTTTTTTTTACAACAAAATCTAACCAACTTAACCGAAAAAAAAAGACGACTTTTGTTTTAAGATATAATCTGTGGTACCACCAACAACAAGCACGAGGTCCTTCCTGTCTTGCTAGCTTTGCTAAGATGTGAATATGTAAATACGGACAAGCTTGTGGATGACTCATACTCCAACTGTAAAGTTTACAGTAAACGTATAAAACAAAGCGCTGCTGCGACAAGTTCAAAAGACCAAAACAGAAAGATCACATTCCCTCTGCAGCCGAGTTTCTCCTTTCAAACGTTCCATCGCAACGTAGTTTATCCATTTATAAATATGCAAAGAAAAAGAAAACCTACACGCATATTTGTTGATAATGTTTGCATTCAGAGGCCATGTTTCTTCCAGGGAGTAAACGCATTTTAGCACGGTTTTTATTACGCTTATACAAAACATTACGCAATAATTGTAAATGTTGAAACCAGTCCCGAGGTTCATTTGATATGTGATGAGGAAAACAGTCCAAACTGATTTAGTGTGGTGCACACAACAGACACTTCATAAAAAAAAATTAAAAAAAACATTTTCATGGTTCAACAGATGAGCGGTGTTGATTTTAAGACGACCTGCCTCGGTGGCTTGGAGACAGGAATAGTTCTGGAGAGTTGTGCTGAGCTGAGATTTTAAAGTGAGCGGACTTGGCTGAGTGTTCCCCTCTGAGTGGGGCCCTGCTGCCCTCAGCGATCGCTCTGAAAGAGCGAGCCCTGTGCTCCAAGTTCGTGTGCCAAAACACAGGAAACCCACAGGGTGGGAAGACGAGTCCTGTTTGGACCAGACGGTCAGTTAATCCTCGATGTCCTGCAGACAGAGGGGGAGGAGACGACCAACAACAACAGCACGTCCACCGATGCTGCTAATCACACAACTGAGACATCTTGACAGAGGGACACTTACGAGACTGTCTTTAAGACACTCTCTGTCTGAAGGCGCTCAAAACTCTAGCCGAGGATCTTGGAGCTAAAAAAAAACCAGATGTACTGTAGAGTTGTCACTTGTGTTTTTATTTACAGCAACTGAACCACACGGGAAGGCCATGCAAAAAAACTAAACGTGGAATATTTGAGTAAAAAACATTTTGTCGTTCATCCAAAAGACATTTCCAGTGTCTAATGAAAAACACCTAATTTCACCAAAAACGTTTTTCTCCTCATTTCATTCAGTGCCCAACAGATTTATTGGTAGAGCTGATATAGGCGTTTGGATCATATTAATATCTGTCATAATAATAATAATGTCATTGTCCTAATACGCCCTGGATATAAACACTGGGAACAAGCCATGTCCTTATTCGCACGAGGCGTAATTGTACAATGTATCCAGCAGAGGGCGCATGAAAACTACTTTCAAGTCATGGCTGTTCGCTTAAGTTTCACTTTCAGCACAGCCGAAGCAGAGAGAAATACTGTGTATTTTGCTGAACAGAACATGGTAAGTTTATTTTAACC